CTGTCACTCTTGGAAAACACTTCGTCAGCAGTCTCGCTAGGCTATTTCTGCGCAATTTTTTGAACTCATTGCTTTTATAATGGCTTGAACATTTGAGAAGGTGAAGAGACAAGTTTCACAAAATCATCACAATGGACCTATTGACCTAAGTGCTTTGGCCACTGACCAACAGCGGCATCAGCTCAACGCCAGTCAATTTCTGAAGCGACTTTCGGCCGAGCTCCTCAATAATGCAAATCTGGTTTTCTGTAACAACTAAAGCTTAATCAATGTTCGAATTTTGGAGCATCAATTTTAATAGATCTGAAGCTCCTTACCATTATTTATGTACATATATACAACATATTTACAGTTTATGTTGATGAAAAGTGTAAGCAAATAAATAAATATAACAAATAAAATATTACAATTAAATCGACCCACACAAACATTATGATTTCATGATATGCAAAGCAATTCGAAAGAGACTAACCCACGCAAATGTCCACGTGCGGAACGGAGGCAGCAACACTCAATCGATTTGCTCAAAAATTTAACTCACTACGAATATTGATATCTGTTCAAAATTTCTACTCTTCTACAGTTAAGCACATAGCCACATACCACTGTGGTAGGTGAGTTGCGTAAGAGCGGTCAGACAGCACGCGCGGCTATTTAATTAATTATTGAAGAAAATGTAAATGACTTAATTAAGGAGGTAAATAGCGCAAGTGGAAACTTGCAGCTCGCAGCAGGCGTACGCACGCAAAAGCTCGGCTGGAATGGTGCGGCGTTTAAATGCACCGGAAATGTAAGATCATTAAGATTAACATATGCACATACGTGTACATACATACATATTAAAATGTTGTTTACACATACCTATATACATACATCAATACCCAGTTTGAATAAGTTGTATGCCTGCCGTACGAGTGATGGAGCGCAAAGCGTGATAAAAATGTGAAATTGAATTTGAAAGTATATTTATATATTTTTTGATCAAAAAATTTAAAAAATAAATACATACATACGTATATATGTACTAGTCTACATACGGCATCTTTTTGGCATTTAACCCGTCATATAACTTTTATAGTAATATATATAGTATGTAATAGTAAGGCGGCCATGGTCACGGTTTGAGCCCTTATCGCCCAACATCCAAAATTTATAGAAAATTATTTTAAATAAAAAATTAAGTTAAATGTACGTATTGCTAACGCCCCTCGGTAGAGAATGCCAAGCCAATGACATTAAATAAAAGTTCTTCAAAGACATCAACCGTTCGGAGGCGGCTTAGTAGACATTGTAAGTCCCTCCATGTGTTGGAAAAATATCAAGACTATATATGTATGTAAGTATTAATAATAGAGTTTATGATTGCTTGAAAATGACTGGATATTGAAAGAACTTAATTTCTCCGCTTTTCTGTTACTTTCTGCCACTGCTATTGAAGATCCTCTCTGAACTCTACTAATGGCGTGTTTTCAAATTTTGCGCCCCGTAATTTTCCGCCAGAATTTCCCAAACGTGCTCGTCCAGGCTTTTTTGGGGGTGAATATAATTGCCGGGGGTAGCTGCCAATCCTTCACTATTTTCGTGTACTTAGGATCATTATGCCATATGCAGATCCAGCTCGTGCCAAGTGTGTACACGCATAGGCTGAAATTATTTTACAATATGATTCCATATTGCAAGCGACTTACATTTTTCTAGATAAAGACCAAATTATCCATTCTGGACGCTGAAATTGCTATCTAAAACATGACACTCCCACCACATGCCTCACGGTTGGCATAATGTGCTTGGGATCTACTGTCTAGATCGCTTTCTGGGGGTTTCTCCAAACTTTTGCGCAGTTAGCGTATCTAAATTTATTATATTTGAAGTCGTCCGTAATAAGCACTTTTTTTCCAGAACTCACCATACTTGTTTTTTATATTTTTTTTTTTGAACTCTCAACGAAGTGGTTTATGAAGGTCATTTGGCGCGAAGTTCTTCTATAGAATCTTTTATTGCTACGAGCCGTTGTAGAACAAGAAAAAAAGAACCGTTTTCGGCAATGACGAAGTCTTTTTTACTTTTCAAGACCATATCAAATTTATGGTACACCGTGTTAGGCTTAAATATTGATTCTCCATATCCCACAAATTGGTGTGTAGAATACCAAATATCACTCCTCTAGATGATCTCATCATCAAAACGAGAGATTGCGCGGCCGGGAAAACTGTATCGCAATAAAGCCATATTCGCTCGTGTTATGTCGCACGTGGCACCATATTTTGGAAACGATATTTTATCCATGTCGTGTTCTTCGAATACAGGCCAAGAAAGTCGGTTAGATACGCTTAAAAATACTCCGAAAGTACAGTCACAGGCCGACGTGGTTTTTTCAAAGAGGTAAGGCCCAGTTACACTCTCTGCCCAAGGGTCTGCTTGGTGGAAGTTTTTCTTTTTTGGTGTAATGACCTCTCTTTAATTATTTAAAGATTCTCGGAATCCATAAGTACCACAAGTTTGCTTATTTACGAATCTCCCGAGAGAGAGATCTGTTTCGCCGCTGAGGAAAGTCTCGTTCGGAACGGCGTTGTGAATGAACGATCAGCTGGCTTCATATCCTGTGTGAGCTGAGATTTATATGGATGTAGGTGTAACTCCGTTAAAAAATAAGTTGTAATGTGACGTAAAAAAGTCTCTACTCATGAAATTGTCGAAAGACACATTCGTGTCTTCGGCTACACTTTCATTTACAGCAGCAATATTCGAGGTGGAACGAGCAGAGCAATGATGCACAGACCTTACAGTATATTTGAGCGATATCTTCACATTTTTTTAAATTCCACCAATTGCTTTAGTAGTTGGACGATTATGTACACCATGATCTTCATGCAACACGACAATGGGCAACTGGAGAAATGATCGAAGCTTTCATGATAGGAGTTTATTTCCCAACAGAACAATCTCCATCCAGCCAAAATGAGACTTAAATGAAATAACTAAAAATGATGCAACTGAAACTCCAATCTTTTGTCAGATTTGCTCTCATCCAATCATCAACTTTAAGCCTTACCATTTTAATTTAGTGATTTCTTTAAATAAATTCTTCTAATTTGATTTTGAATTAACAATTCGCATCAACAACCTTTTTTAATACTTTTCACAAAAAAAATCGTAATATCGAAATTCGTATTTCAAATCTTTAGCACATTTATTTAATCGATTCGAATAATTTTTACAATGGCACTTAGTACATACAAAAATCAACATTGAAAATATTTAAGCCATGACGCTTTTACCAACGCCAATTATTTCTAAATAATTATTTGTTACGAGTACATTGATAAATTAGTTATTACAACATAATATTCTTGTACAATAACAATACACAATCATAATTTACACTGGTACAGATATATGTAGGTATGTATGTATATAATAATAATTATTTTACTAAATAGACACTAAAATACTATAGATCAGTACAATATTACGATTTAAATTTAATGTTAATCTAGTTTCGATATGTACGTATGTATGTATGCATTACATAGTCGTTTGCTTATTTGCTTTCTATAAATATTCAATCTTTACTTTTTTTAATTTTTTTATTATTATTTTTTTTATTATTTTTTACTTTACACTGATATGTTCGAGATTCTACACTTAAAAGTATTTGTTAAGAATTTAATATAGAAAATAATCTGTACATAAAATTAATTTTTTAATTTCTCAAGAAGGTTCAACGTTCAAATTTTTAACTTTAATGTAAATAGAAATCAATAATAAACACATACAATATTATTATTTTCAGTAATTGCTGTTAACTATTTGGTCTAGTTGCAAATTCTGCATTATTTTCGTAACATTCACTTAACTAATTTTGCTCAACATTTCAATTTGTTATTTTTAAAACTTTTTATTTTTGTTTATTTTATTATAATATATTTTATTTTTATATTTCAAATTTTTTTTGTCATTTCGAATAATTAATATTTTTCTTTATTTCACTTTTTTTTAGTATTTTTATTTGACTTTTATTTACTTTATTTCATTCACTTCTTTTCAATTTATTTTAATTAAATTTATATTTTATTTAAATTTTTTAGTTTTACTTTAATTTTTTTATTTTATTTTAAATTATTACTTATTATAATTTATTTGTTTTTATTTTACTTATTTTATTTTACTTTATTTTACTTTATTTTATTTTATTTTATTTTATTTTATTTTATTTTATTTTATTTTATTTTATTTTATTTTATTTTATTTCATTTTTTAACTAACTTATTTATTTTAGTTTTATTTTGTTTTTTATTGTTTTTTTTTATTTAGTTAATTTCTTTTCTTTATGTTAATTTATCATATTCAATTAAATTAAATTAAATTTAATTTTATTTCATATAATTTTGTTTTAGTTGATTTTTGTTTTTTTAATTCCCTTTATTTTATTTTAAATTAGTTCATTTCACTATATTTTAATTTATTTGATTTTATTTTTATTTATTTTATTTTCTTATTAATCCGTTTATTTTATTTTTTTCTTGCTTCAGTTTATTTTTTATTATTTAGCTAAATTTTTTTTGTTTTATTTTGTTTTGTATTATTTTATTTTATTTTCTTTTGGTTCTTTTATTTCTTATTTGATTTTTTTTTATTCATCTATTTAATTCAAATCAATTTAATTTATTTTGCTTCAATTTATTTTATATTATTCAGTTGAAGTTTTGTATGTGATTTTATTTTATATTATATTCTTTTATTTTGTTTTATTTATATCATTTTTTATTCAATCTATTTAATTTAGTTTAGTTTTATTTTACTATAGTTTATTTTATATTATTTAGTAAATTTTTTTGCTTTATTTTATTTTATATTATTTAATTTAATTTAAATTAGTTTGATTTTATTTATTTTTTTTAAATTTTTTTCACTTTATTTTATTTTAAATTAGCTGATTTTATTATATTTTAATTTAATTGATTTATTTTATTTTTTATTAATCTAATTAATTTGGTTTAATGTTTTTGTTTAATTTTATTTTAAATTATATTTTTTATTTCGGTTTTATCTTTCCAAAATCAAATGTTCATTGAACCTCTTAATAAATATTTTTTAATATACAGAATATTTCATTGGGTAAACGATATTATATTATTTTTAATTTATAAAAATATGCTAAGCTGCCGAGTTATATTGCACAACTGGTCGTAGCCGATGACTTATTTAACTAATATTTGGTATTTTGCTTTGGTTCTTCGACATTTGCTTGACAGCACTTTGAAGTTTTTTTTACAATATTTTTTCCCTAAGAACTATATTAATTGCTAGCATTACGATCTAATTACAAATACAAATTTTAGCAATTAGAATATTTTTAAGTCCTAACGAATAATATACTTAATATAATTTTGTTGAGTATTGTCGACAAGTTTTAACTGCTCTATGGTACTGTTATGCTATATACAACCTTTATAAGTAAATATTTATATATATTTTTACTTTATATCTCCAATTATTTATAATGATACCTCAGAGACTCAACATCCGACTCGTCATCACTTGACGAGGGCGGCGTTTCCAGGTTCGCCACCGCCACATCGAGATAATCCTCATTGGCTAACAACAGCTTATCCAAATTCTCCACAATCTCAACAAATGTTGGACGTGCCATGGCATCGAAATGCCAACACTGACGCATCAACATGTATATGTTCAGCGAGCATTTAGGTGGTTTTTCCATGCGCTGACCGGACATCAAATAGCTATAGAGCTCCTCCGCCGACATAATGGTTGGGTAGGGTTGGGCGCCAAAGGTCATAATTTCCCAAAGCAGTATGCCATAAGACCAGACATCACTTTGTGAATCGTAGAATTTATCCTGCAACGATTCGGGCGCCATCCATTTAATGGGCAGACGTCCGTTGGTATTCTTTCGATAGTAGTCCGTATCCTGTATGTCACGTGCCAAGCCGAAATCAGCGATCTTCATGACATAATCGTCGCTGACTAAGACATTACGTGCCGCCAAGTCGCGATGTATGCAACGTCTCGAGGCCAGATATTCCATGCCGCGTGCAATTTGGAAAGCGAATGAGATGAGATGCTTCTCGGTTAGATGATGTTTTGGCAGCGGCAGCTGATGCTGTTGCTCACCGTAATCTTTGAGCGTGCCAGCGGCTAGTGGGCGATTTTTGTTGAGGAAATCTTTAAGATTGCCGTGCGGTGCAAACTCGACAATCACATATAGTGGACCGGACTGACTGCAGCAGCCTAGTAAATTGATGATGTTTATATGCTTGCCAATGATCTTCATTACTTCCATTTCGCGCACCAAACTTGCTATGTCATCATCGGTATGTCCTTCCTTCACCATTTTAACGGCAACAATGGCGTTATTCACCTCAGCCATGACGACGCGCCCAAAAGCGCCCTCACCGAGTGTGGCGCCTAAAATGAGTTGGGAACGTGGTATTTCCCAATTGGAGTCCAATGGAAACTCGTATTCATTGAATGGCGCCGGCTCCGAGTTGGAGCTCTGCAGCACGGTTGTGCGTTGCTTTTCTATCTTTACCACCGGCATAATCATGGTGTCCATCGAGCCGCTGGAGTCACCACTTGGCGGCTTATATATGATCACTTTCTTTGTCCACTGATGTACCGTTTCAATGCGCTGTTTGAGTAACTTTTCATGTTTCACTTTACGCAGCACATAAATGAAGAAAATGAGACAGACCAAAGCGAGCAGCACCATCACCGACACAATGCCCCATATCTCATAGCCATGCATAGATTTGGAGATGACGCGCGCAGTGTTAGGATCTTGTACACGCAAGTAGGCGCTGCTATGCGACTGACCGAGTCCGTTCATTTCGATGCAAGTGTACCAGCCCTCATTGCCGGGCGTCACATTAGTGAAATTCAAAATATCTACATCCTCGACGTTTTTGAGAAATGTCGTGTTTGCCGAGCAGACGCTTCTATTGCACGGTGTGAACGTCCACGTTTTCTTGCTGTGTAAGTCCGATAGGTAAACACATTCCATGTGGCCACTTGCATTTAACGGCAGCGTTAGATTCGCCGGCGCTTTCAGTATGATCGGCTTGTGATTGACACGATCACTAATGATCAGCTTTGTTGCATGCTCAATGCAGCCCAAATAATTGCACACCCTACACTTATAGATGCCAGAATCCTCCGGCACCAGATCCTCCATATGTATGCCCCATTTCACTTTGCGCACACGCCCCATATGCCGCAGGATCTTAGCGTCGTTCCGTGTCCAGGTGATGTTCGGCTCAGGTCGTCCCAACGCGGGGCAAGCGAGCTGTATGTAACTACCTGATGGTTTTGAGTGTATATTGGGTAGTATTTTCGAGTTCTTGAAACGTGGTTCAAAGTCAGCGGGTGATTTCGATTCGCTGCCATCCGCGTTGGTGGCATTCCCATTCGCTCTTATCACGGCGCCGGCATCGTCGATGCCCGCGTTATCGTTGTCGCCATTTTCGGCTGCTGCCTCTGTGCCAAAATCATGTTCGCTACGCTTTTGCACTTCGAAAACTCCCTCGTCGTAGTCGTTGAGCTCTTGCGAAGTGGGCTTACGAGCTGTGACAGTGCACGGTTTTTGCATTATGCAAAATATCAAAATGCTGAGGGTGAGTATTTTGAGGAGTTCCGAAAATGCTCCCATTGTCGGTAGCGTTGCGCGTGTGACTATTTCTGCGCGACTACCGTTTGCAGCTCTTCGGCGGCTGGTTGCTGTGGCAACGCCGCTACCGTGCCGTTGATGTCTATTTTCGTAATTTATGTGACGATGCTGTGGTTTATGACTCCCGGTGTCTGTATCGGTATCGGTGACTGTGACGGCGGCAGCCATACTTTTCCTCCAGCCGCGTCTCGAGTGATCTTGTCTGCCTGCTGTTGTAGCTGTACACTTCACTTGAGTTGAACTTGTTGTTTTCGGCGTTTTAGCGTTCGTAGGTATGTCGCGTGTTGCGTCCATTTTTAGTTGCAGCCGCCGGTTTATTTTTATAAATGCCTCGCAAGGGGTGCACGTTGACACATGTGCGGTGTATATGGTTTTGTCATGCGGATACTTTCGGTTATGTGTGCGCTGCAGTTCTGCTGTTCTGCTATTCTGTTGTTGTTGTTGGTGTGGTGTTTCTCGTTTCGGCCTCTTGATTCACCGGAAATCCACTTTAGTTTCTTTTAATTTGAGACTTTTCTATTTCTACTTTTAATTTATTGTTTCTACTTTGGTGCTTATGATAGCTGCTTCTAGCTCGTGTTTTACCAGTTGCCACAATTGTCGTTGCTTTTGTTGTTACTGTTGTTGCTGATATTTACTTAGCATTTGCACGCACTTCAGTCGATTGAGAGCAACATGTGTTTCTCCGTTCGTTTATCATTTGACGATCGACGTTTGCTGTTTGATCACTTTGCGCTGCTGCGTTGATCCTCTGAGTGATCTGTTGCGACAATCACCTCTTGAGCGGAAATATATATGTAAATGTTGCATATGCTCGGAGATAGTTATGCCACGGAGTTGTTGTTGTACATTTATATTACTTTTTGGTTTATTTATGCGTTCCACTGCTGTCGGCAATGAAGGATTTATTTGCTCCCCTGACTTATCTGCGGTGATGTAGTTGTCAAATTCTTTGATGACAGATTCGTTGATTTCTTTCAAAGGTTTCTGTAATGAATAAATGAAAATGAAAATTAGAAAGGAAGTGGTTTTAGCAATGAAATGATGAAAGAGTATCATTAAAGTTCTATAAACGTTTCTACGGCCTCAAAATAGTGGCGTGTGATTCCGAATGGCTTCTCCAGAGCAATCCAAATCGGGCCTTAAATATATTCAGTTGGGAAATTTCCGTTTAATGGCGCGAGAAACGTAATTTCCGTCCCAGGCATACTCTTTTAGGACCCAAGTGAGTGATCTAGTGACCAATATTGAAATCATACTTAGTTCTTGGATGCCCCACCTATTACAATATGTTCTGACGGTCAGGCTGCCGTTAAGTCTCTCCAATGAACCACCTCAAAGCAGTCAATAAAAGCAGAGAGATTCAGGTACATAGATGAGGACAAATCGGTGAAAACTATCTCTGCCACTGTACAGCTTTCAGTGCGGTTTGTTATCGTTTACTCAGAATTTCTCTTTAAAAGGACCAACATAGGTGTTATAACGGGTCAGTAGGGCTAAGTGTGGATATGGTTCATCCGCCATAGAACAAATATTCACCATGCGCTTAATTTGAAGCACACCATCTCTTCAATGAACGCGCCCGCGTCTTGGTAAACACACCACAGTTGACAGTCTTGACTTCAAAGTCGTAAAGTAAAGCCCTCTATCGAGGAGATACCGGTCGAAATGTTGGAAAGAGTATGCCAAAATTGGACTAAGTGGAGGCGCACTCACGGTCAACATTTGCATGAAATAATCTTCAAACATTAAATTATATCCCCCGTACTATCGATCAAAGAAAGATTTCATGTATTTTTCTGAATCTTATGTGTTTTCTGTTTTGTAATTTCCTATATCTCTTGAAAAGTCACCCTTTATATAAATATATTTGATTGGTTTGAGATATATAAGTTTGTAATGGGTCTATTGTGAATGAATGGTGAGAAAAAACTGAGGAATCGTGCAGGAACTTAATGTCGGCAAGGAGCATATCTGAGCCAAGTTAGCGAAAAGGAGGATTTCGACGACTCCGAGCGAGCTTTTTTTTAAAAGAATGCACACACATCTTATAATATTTTATATAACATTATATTATAATTATAATATAAAAATGTTTGCTGAATTTTGTGAACTCTGTGAGCAAACTTAAATGTTAAAAAAAAAATTCCAATCAGTTGGGTATTGGACTCATTCATGAGTGAAATATAAGACTCACTTATAATGAGAGTAAAACAAACAATCAGAAGTGTCTATACCTTTCATGACCATATAAAATTGTCATATCTTAAAAATTGATTGGATGGGTCAATACTCCATATCTGGACACACCCAGTTGCATAGTAGGTAAAAAATATATGTTGTTCTGTAACAATGTTTATTCGTGTATTCGTGTATAACGCTTGTAGATATAGTGGATGGATTTTTGACCAACAGCTTCTTGTCTGAACTAGTCGGTACTATATATTATAGTCGTCTGAGTTCAATAATTTTCAGCACCAACGTGTAATTCATCATTTTTGTGCAGGGTGTAGGCCTTTAGATGCTTTTTCGACAAAAGTATGGGACAAAATATCAATTCAAATTGGTCTTATGTGAATCTGCCGCAGTGGTCTGATCTGCCGGTTCCGAAAACTGCTTGCGAACAAACAGACGGACAACTAAACTTGTATTTCCGACCTGATCGGTATAAACTGTGATAGATATATAATATCTCTAGCTCAGCGAGACTATCGAAATAATATTTCTCGAGGCCCCCCCAAACTTTAGCCAAAGCTGTCTGGTCACGTTACACGTGATCTCCTTAAGCCCTCTTGAGTTTGCTTCCCTGGCAAAGGTCAGTTTGAGCTTATACTTTGCCATAGACATAGGTAAACCAAAATCTTCTAGATGTTTTATCTTGCGTAGAAGGGTTCGTATGCCCTGCAATTTCCGGGGATGTCACTGTAGATATTTTATAGACACCTTTGATGTGGTACTGTTACAATGTAGAGATCTGATGTCAGCCTGACTGTCGGAATAAATCGTAACTGACTGCCCTGTTGCAGTAGATTTAAGCAGCCACCTGGCGGCTTCCATGATAGCAAAGAAGTCTACTTGGAAGACATTATTGAAAGCATCGATCTTTGATCCGTCTCTGTTCGAAGCCATTGAAGTTTTCCCACTCATTTTTGTTTAGGATCAATGGAGTCATGAGCAGTTCAACATAAACAAAAATATATCTTTGGACATGCTCCAGCTCAAATGAAACATCAACAAATTTTACCACGAAAGCGAGAAGCGCACTGGGTGAGTTGATTTAATTATTTTTGCAAAGGTATACGAGTACATCACAAATACCCGGCAATTGTGCGAATTCTATTCAAATAGACAATGAATTTAGATAGCACAGTTTTTTTCCAAAGCAAAATTACACAAAAAAGTACGAACAATAAACAAATTAAATGAAAAGAAAAATTCAATTGAACACATAATAAACAAAAGAGTATTACAAAAGGGGTTAAGCTTGTATTATTCTGTACATACCTACATATATGCCCCCATACATATATTTTATCGATCAATTAGAATTGTTTTTTTTTTCATAAATAATTTTTGAGGCACTTTTTCAAGGAAAAAATTTATATAACGCTTATAGCTCCAATGCTTTAGTTTTCCCCGCAGCGTAAACTATTATGTATCACAAAACCGTTAAGTTGTTGGTATAAATATATCTTGATACTCTCTTAACTTGATTCCGCTGCAAACTTCTAACAGATTCTATCGAAAGTGCCGCTCGTAAATCCTACTTTCGCGAAATGAAATGAGGTAGAGTTAAGAAATATTTTCAGATAATTCAAGGCCCGCGCTTATGGCAGGTTTCTGAGTTAAATATTGTACTTTTGATTCAACTGTGTGAAGCTAATGGATTCCTTAAGTTTAACAAAAAAATTAAACTTTTTCACAAATTTTCATTTGCAATGCCTGAGTAAGTCGAGAATGTTTCCATTTGAATAAATTTGTGGCGATTTCAAAGGAGAATAAGTTATCTTAGCCCAGTTATGCGCTATTAACGGTTTAACAGTAGCTGTTAACGATTTAACATTAGCTGTTAACGAATCAACATTAGCTGTTAACGATTTAACATTAGCTGTTAACAATTTAACATTAGCTGTAAACGATTTAACAGCAGCTGTTAACGATTTAGCAATAGCTGCTAACGATTTAACATTAGCTGTTAACGTTTTAATATTAGCTGTTAACGATTTAACAGTAGCTGTTAACGATTTAACAGTAGCTGTTAACTGTTTAAAAGTAGCTGTTAACGATTTAACAGTAGCTGTTAACGATTTAGCATTAGCTGTTAACGATTTAACATTAGCTGTTAACGATTAAATTTTAGCTGTTAACGATTTAGCATTAGCTGTTAACAATTTAACATTAGCTGTAAACGATTTAACAGCAGCTGTTAACGATTTAGCATTAGCTGTTAACGATTTAACATTAGCTGTTAATGATTAAATATTAGCTGTTAACGATTCAACATTAGCTGTTAAGAATTTAACAGAACCTTTTAACTGTTTAACAGCACGTGTTAGCTGTTTAACATTTGCTGTTAACGATTTAACATTAGCTGTTGTTTGAGTATTCTTATAATGAGTTTCTGTTTATGTATACACGATTGATTTCAAAAACTTCCGCCGGAAAAGTTTGCGAAATTATTGCAAAAGTGTGCAAATAACACGCCCAGGTATGTATACAGATGTGCAAATATATCAGCTAAAAATAAAATTTCATTCAGTTTAATTGCGTGGAGTTTATTGATTGCTTATTTTCTTAAATAGAATGTGCAAAGTACTTTTAATAGAAATCTGTTTATAAGTATAGATATAACGCGTATAACAGTTACATACATATATTACCTGTGTTTTTTCAAATATGAAAAATAATTTATATGATATTACTTATTTGCTTTGACTCAAGATAAGCCTAATTCAATAAAATTGCAATCGACTTCTTCCTCCTCCTGCTCTCAAATTTTTAATAATGTTTTTAATTTCATTCATTCATGAAGAGCATATTATTAATAACAACCTATAGCAAAAAATAACGGTGTAGTACCTTCCAATTGGAACCAATAAATGTATTATATAAATGCATATGTATGTGCAATTTGTTTTTTGCCGTTGCAGTTTCAAATATAATGTGCACTTAGAAAGTACATTGAATTGTTCTAAGAATATTTTATTTAGAGCGTAACCTAATATTAAGGAAATCCACGTAATTGCATTAATAACATTTCGTGATTATTTCCTATTTTTATGGCCGAATGAAATAAGAGCAGTGGGATGAAAGTACAAAATATTTATTGACGGAGGTATAAAGATCAATGAACTAATTTCATGCAAATTTTTTATGGCATTTTAAACTTTGTATTTCATTTAAAATTATATAATTTTATCTTATTTTTATTTAATTTTCATATTTTATTTGATACTGAAAAAAGTTTTATATACTTTTTTTTAATTTCTTTTATTTTTTTTTCTATTTTATAAAATTATATTCTATTTTATTTAATTTACGTTAAAATAATAAGTAGGGATATTTTTTTCAAAAGCTTTTATTTTGACAGCTGTCATATTAGTTTTGTTTAGTACTGTTTGGCAATTCAACATGAAAAGTCTTAGACCTGAGCCACGTTTACAAATCGTTCAACTTTAATACGTAAACTAACGTTCTGGAAAGAATGTGTTTCGCGCGTTCCGCTCAACTGCAACACCGTCACCCAACTTGAGACCCATCATTCATAATTGGATAATATTCGACCCAGTAAACCAGGCAGTGAAGAAGTTTTAGCGAAAAAAAATCCCGCTTGTCATTCGCTAGTGACCAATTGAAATGCTCAAACGAATCATGGAAAATTAGACTCAACGGAAGGAGCATCTAAAATCTTCAAAAAATAAATGCTAAAGATTGTTTTTTTTTTTCAAATCATAATAAACATTCTCCATTAAATTTGAATTTTCTATGTTTTTTTCTTTAAAAAAGTAGGAAACCTTATTTATTATTTTCCGCTTCTTATTTAAATTATTATATATATTATATACATTTATTTGGCGCTTTTAAACCCCTGAAGCGACTTTCCGTAGAACTCCTCCTCCAATTTGTGGTTTAACGTCTTGATGTTTTTCCAACAAATGGAGGGATCTCCAACGGCTGAGAGTCTTTTTCGAGAAGCCTTTGTTTCATGTCAGAACAACACTAGGGGGTCCGCAATGCTAACCACTCGGCTACCGCGGCCGTCGTATTTAAATTGGTTTGGTTTAATTTAAGTTTATTTTTCTATTATTTTGCATATTTCTTTATTTTACATTAGTATATATTATCGTTTTTTATATTTTGTTTCATGTGATTTGATTTTAAAATAATGTCTTTAATTTTATTTGATCATTATTATTTTCTCCAAATTTTTAATTTTTACTATTTTTTCCAATTTATTATTTTTTATTTTATTACTTTAATTTATTTGGTTTTAGTTTCCTTTATTTTAATTTTTTATCTGTTTTTTTTTTTTATTTCAATTAATTTATTTAATTTTATTAAATTTATTTTATTACTTTAATCATGTTTTTTGTATAAATTTATTTATTTTATTTTATTATATTTTAGTTATTAATTTCACTTTATCCTTTTTTTAATATTGATATATAGAGATTTTGTATTATATATCATTTCATTCTATTTTGTTTTTTTGTTTACTTTTTTGCATTCCTTCCTATTTTCGTGCATTTTTTCGATTATGCTTATTAATTTTAGTTTCTTTATCTTAATTTGTTGATGTTTACTGTTTTTTTTCTTTTTGGTGTGTACAAATAAAAGTACTAATTTAAAATTAAAATCTAAATACAAAATCGCATATTTTGATAATCTTAAAACGAAAAGTAGAGAATGTTTGTTGCAAGAACTGCCCCGTAGGAAAGTTTTTATTTCATGTTAGAAGTCTACTCAGGGATGGTGACACTGCCTGGCAAGGAGCGATCGCATTTATAAAATAAATATTATTTTTATTGATTTATTATAATATTGAATTTGCTCCAACACTTGACCTCGACGTGGTGGTTCGTACTACTATCCACGCAGCTGCTGCGACTGCCAGTGATGTGGAGATGTGTGTCAGATATGTATGTGATTGTAATATAATTTGGTAGAAAGCCAATTGCCGCGTTTCCTACAGGGCATGCAAGCAAAAGTTTTGAATGAAAATTCGCGCGATAAAAAAATTAAATAAAAAAGGAAAAGTTCTTGCGAAAACAATAAAAGTCTTTGTTCTACTTCTTTGCTTTTAATATTTTGCCTTCGCCTTTTTAAAATTCATTTTCCGTTTTTTTTTTTCTCGCACATTTCACTTTCTTCTCGTTTGAGTGTAATAAAAAGAAACTTGAGTGAGTTAAGTATCTTCTCAGATACAGATACAGATTTGGCAAAATATACGGATTTATTTTAATTAATTTATCTACTTTTTTTTTGCTTAAGCTCATTCATAATTTTATTATATAAATCTGCCCATACACATATGTATGTATGTATATTTTTTTATTTAAATAATTTTTCAGTTTAAAGCATTTCGTTATATGCATATATACAAACATATATACTTAAACTCTGATATGCACATACATAGTTAGCATAGTCCGTTTGCAGTAAGTACGTCACCGTGTATATATGTATATATTTAACAGTATATATGTACATATAAACGTGTGTACGTAAGTTTTGTTCGTTAGTTTTTGCCTCTTTAAATCATTTTCAGTATTAATTAAAATGTCTCACATATATCCGGTGAATTTTTCTTTAATGGCGGCGTGTGCGCTGCTGCTCTGCCTGTCTCTCCGTTTTCGGCTTCCTCACTGAGTTGGAAAACAATTTGCCAAGTTAAATGCATACATACATATGTATGTATGTATGTTTAAGAATTTCATAGAATTTTTGTTTGTTTTTTGATTTCAAAAACAATTTTAATACGAAATAAAATGAAAATAGAAATAATTTAAATTCATATTGTATTTTTCATTATCTTTTGGCAAATTGTAGTACAGTTATTTACATATGTACATATGTGTTTATTACGATTTTTGTTTTATTTTCCGCCCTCATATAAAAGTGTTTTCCAAATTTCTTTACGCAAATATATTATTAAAATTCCACGAAATTACATTTTGCAATAAATAGTTATTATAAACCAATGCTGCACACTCATATATATATAAATATTTGCTTATTTTGCGTATAAAATGATTTTCGTATTGCAAATTTTTGATATTTTGTGTAAATTCTGTAGATATGGAAAACAGAAAATTTTTTACGCATTTCACTGAAGTCCATAAATATTTTTTTTTTGCACCTCATAACAATTTTATACACGTACCTCAAAATATTTAACCGTTCACGCTGTTTCTGCCCGCATTCGTTGTCTACTCAACTACATAAATGTACACATTTTCAAATTTCCACAATTTCCTCAATTAGTTTGGATTTGAAAAAAAAAATCATATATACGTGTATGTATGTATGTTGGCGTTTTGTTTTTATGTTCTTCACACTATTTGTTGCCTCTATATAACACAAATTTTATTAAAAGTATATATATATGTATGTATGTATATTTATGAGAGGCTTTTATTCAGCTTCCATACAGTACTTAATTGACTTATATGCGAGTATTCGCCTTCCAATCTCACTGTTTTGTTCTTAATTGGAGCAACGTTCTATACCAACTGCATGTCAGCATCGCTCACTAGCAACGCGCTCACTCATACTGATCGTACGCATATCCACTTTGGCTTCAGCAATAATCTTCTTCCTGTGGCGGCAAACGCCCTCAAGCAAATATTGCTGCTCAATAGCTCAGATCTGTGGTGGAAATATTTAATGCTCACTCCCGTTATACGCTTGCGCCTACAATGGGGATCGAACTTGGCAGATCATATATGTATATATGTATGTATCATATATATATATTGTACATATATGTGTGTATGTATGTACGCATGTATATAGAGAAGTATGAGATACTTAAGTGCCTTATGCCACTATGAGCATATTTTCGTATTTATTAAAATAATAGCAAATGTCCATTGCACTCACTCACGCAGTGCTCATTGGTTCACTCGGCCAGCAAAATCGCACTCAGCAAAATCACTCAATTTTGTATACATTTTTAGCATAGTGAAATTTCAGAAAAATTGAAAGAAATAAATATACAAACCCCCATTTCGTTTATAGAAAGTAGTGCATACATGTGTAGATACATACATATGTATATCACATATGGAAGTACTTAGCTACACATATGTATGCACATGCATATATATATAATACAAGCGTTTCTGTTTTATTTCAGCTCAACCGCTGTCCGTCCCTACAGGTTACATACACATCCCGCATCTCTGTTAATTGTTTTTTTTTTGTCTTGCCTTTATTCACGTCGAAGCCTCAAAACCATATGTTGCATGCATGTTGTTTGGTCTATTGGCCTGTCAATTCGTCGATCTGTCGATCTGCCACACCGTCTTTCAAGCATTCTGACATTTACACATATTTATTTTTTTTTATTTTCTTTTACTTTTTGCATTTACGGACCATTGAACGCGCTCAGCGTCATTAGTGGGTTTGCATCGCTTGGAAGGCTGTTAAAACAGTAGCTCCAGCAACAAACACAGTGTAAAAATACAGACAAAAACAAAAGCAACAACAGATAATAAGTTTATTTACTAAAATAACAGCACATTCAATGCCTCTACAAGTACACCCCAAACCCATTACCGTTGCGATAATCATAGCTGCACTGACATCAAATGACATACAAGGGCAAATATTGTTTGAAACAGAGGCATAGAACCGAGAGTAGTCAATCGTACCAATTTATTTTCACTCAGTCATTTATCCACACTTGTAGATGTGTAGCAATTTTAAAGAATCCCCCTACATTCACACCTATGCTTTTACTGATAAACCGAGCACTTTGTATAGCGAACACGACAGGGGCAAGCGGGTGTGATAGGTCTGATGTTGGGACTGCGAATCGTGTGAGAAGATTGCCTAAAGTTAGGTTAGGTTAAGGGAACATTTTGGTTTTTGTTTTTTGAGCATGTGGAAATATTTGAATATTTGAATATTTTTTCTTATAAAATAATTCCGTATTCTTATAAACTTTGAACCTTGACATTATATGTGAAACACCGCATCATTCAAATGATCGCCTCGTGAATATTTGAAAACTTTAAACAGTTTCAGGTAATTTTCGAAAGCCATAACTTGAGGAAAGTTGGCTTTCAAGTGCTCCCAAATGTTTGGAATATGTAAAAAGTTGTTTAAATGCTTCTGGCGGTTTCGGTCTCTCAGGAAATTAACTAAAAGAATCCTATAAAAATCATAATCCTGCTACTTTTTGGGCAGTCCGAAATGTTTTGATATCTTAAGTTGAATTAATGACTTTGGGAAATCGAATAACAATTTTATAAATGATATATATACAATTTATTACAATATAAAACTTTTCTCGAATTATTGGCGGGAAAGTCAAAATAAATCCATCGGAGAAAGTAAAGAGGATATTTAGCTAAGGGTTCTCTCACAGAGATCGTACGAACTTTAGCGGGAAGACGTCAGTCTTTGATTTCCGAGCATATTAAACTAGGGATTCATTTTTAAGTTCTACTTGCTTTTTTTTCGACTTTGCAGTCATCACCATCATTGGAAAAAATACCACTTCGAGAAGTATCTCACCCACACAAACTCCACAGTAATGGCGTCCATATGTTGCACATACGTTGATTATTCAGCTGAAATTAGGTTGCCGGAATACATATGAACATATATACGTACATATATGACTATATTAACTAAGTGCATATTTAATAAATACTATGAAGATATGTATGTTTAGAAGTGTTCAGATATTGTTGCACATTCCAGTCTTGCATTAATTTCTCATTTAAGTTCTTTTCTAAAATTCTTGATTTCTGTTAATTCCGACAGTGAGAAGGGAGGTACCCACCACTTAAAGCATACATTTTGATACCCTAATGGATGAGAGACATCCCTGTTGATGACGACACTCGAAAATGTTTTAATTCCGACGATTTGAGGGTACACAACTGGCAGGTCCGGTTCCCTAATTTGGGAAGGCGATGTTGTCCAAGCTGCTTGATTTGCTAAGAAGATTAAATGCTAAGGCTGACATCACCGCCGCCCAAGGAGTTCGGTGGACGGGACACGGACAGAAATTTAATACACTACACTACTTCGACGGAAGAAAAGCACGATTTGGCCCAGAACGCTTTCTAAGAGCGCCTATTAGCTCTAATCGCTGTTAATGTTGAGACTGCAGAAAACTCATCGTTAGCGTTAAGTTTAAAATGGCTGCTCGAAGTAACTTCAATTTAACGTTTAACATTAACTCTAAACGACTTAACATTATCTGTTAACGATTTAACATTGGCTGTTAACGATTTAATATTGTCTGGTAACGATTTAACATTGTCTGTTAACGATTTAACATTGGCTGTTAACGGTTTAACATCAATGACAGCTTTTCGTTGCGGGTAAAAACGAAATAAAATTTATTTTGATAACTGCTTTAACGATAATATTTGCAAATGTTTTCATCGAATCGATTGAAATTTTTTGTTCGACGAGAAATTTATCGTTACGATGCATTCTTGGTCTATACATAAATTAGCAGTAGTGGAAACTCACTTTGTTGGTGACGACTTACCTTTTACAAATTCTTTTCTCTCCTAAACTCGGTACTATTTTGCATTTTTATTTATATATGTATTAAAAGTAAATACATATTTACATACATATATTCTTCGTTCACAACACTAATCATTGCCATTCAAGCGCATCACATAAAATCACATAAAAATATTGAAATATTTTTCTGAATTTCTTTAATAAGTATTTTTCACTTTTACAACACTTTGGTTTATACATATATATTTTTCAAAAATTTTTTCTTTCTTCTTAAACTTTTCACAAAAACAAAATTCACTAAATATGCCAAATTTAGGTAATTTTCTGGAACCACCGAATTCCAAAAAAAAAAGAAGAAAAATCAGAAATTATCTCAAAAATCGCGCATTTGCAACTCACAACAATCCTCCTTCGCGGCAAGCACAATTTTACAAATGAAAGGCCCATTGAGCAGTAGTGAGGGCAATTTTCAGAAAATGAGTGTTTTCTCATAATTTTTTCAACTCAATTGGGCAAATTCAGAGTTCAGCGGAGCGCGCATTAAAAACAGAATTTAAATGGTTTTGAGTGCAATCGGTGCGTCGAGCAACATTTAATGTTTATTTATAACATTGTTTATATTGTTGATCGGCACGCACGCCAATATACGCTTAAGTAAGTACATACACTGTATATATGTATGTATGTACATACATATGAGGGATGCCGCGTTAGTGGTGGGGGTTGGGTAGATTAATAGAATTGCTGCTGCGGTAGCATCGAAATGAAAATTCCCTTGCCATTCAATTGATCAGCATCTGGGTATACCCAACAAACACAATTGTGGAATATTTGAAAGCAGATTGACTCAATATTAACTAAAAAATTTCGAAAAAAGTGTAAAAAAATCTGCATATATTCAAAAGATTCAAAACTAATAATGAATTATTTTTCTTTTATTATATTTAATTTTTAATAAAAATAGTTTTTCTTAAAAATTTCTCAAAAATATACTCATGTATGGTAAGCAAATAATTGGGGTCGAATCGAGCGTTGCGTGCACGTATATCTCGTCACGTAAATTTGATTTTTTGGCATTACGCCATACGTGAACGTTTACTCGTTATCGTAATTCGGTATAATGCTTTCGTAAAAGACATACGTTGACGAGTATTTCGTTTAGAACTCTCATTCGATGACAAAATTGTGTTCGTACACAAGCAAGCAATGAAAATGTAACTAATTTATTTTAAAATATTATAGAAAACTTCTTGAATTAATAAAAAATATTATTTTAGAGCAAATGCAAATAAAACTAACGCGTTTAATTCATGCGCTCATATCCAAAGTTAGCAAAAAACCTTTAGCCAAACTTTACACAGGTCAAAGCAAATATTTGGACCACCAGTTAAGGATATCAAAACGTGGAATAAAATGTACAAAAATAAATTTTCCTTTAATTTTTCTCTCTTCTTACTAAAATATCAAGTCATAGAAGCCGAAGTTGCTGATCAAACGCTGCGAAAGGAAGTTATCAACAAAGCGTATTTATTGTGCTCACTGGGCATTTATGTACGTATGTATGTATGTACATATATGTTAAGGCACATAAAATCAGTATCGAGTGCAAACAAAATTGCGAACAAAAACATTGTTAATTAAAGAAAATAATCTTAATTGAATAAAGCGGCGAAACTTTATAACCATAAGCGGCGTGAAGTGTTAGAACAAAATATACATACATATGTATGTATGTACAAAAATTTATACATTTGTAAGTATGTACATATATAAATGGTTGCGAATAACATACATATGTTTATTAACTTTAATAAAATACAGTATAAAATTGTTGTCAGTATTTAGCGCTAAAAATTTTTAACCCTACAGACAAGATAAACTTATTTTTTTTGGCTTTAGTTCAATGTTCATAATTACTGCTACTACAATAAAAACATTTCTTTAGTTTTCAATAAAAAATATTTATTTCGAATTTTCAAAATAATTATTATTTAAACTTATTTATATGTATATATTTGCATATATGTATGTATAGATAAAGAGAAAGAAATATATTCTCTCTCTTTCTTTGGATCATATCAACCCTCTCTTAGATATATACAGTTGTTGTTGCTCTCTGCAATGAATGAAATTAATTTATTGTCACAAACTTTGATTCTGCAAACAATAATTAATGTTTGTACAAATGTATGTATTTGTATATAAGTTTCTACACATACATATGCAAAAAAATATGTGCCCTACATTAGGGTTATCCTAAGATCGATTTATGAATATTGTAATCAAGTCTCGTTGAAATCAAAAATTACAAATTATGATTTTGTTATCTTTGAGGAAGATAAAGTCAACTCTATATGACGCAGTAAATTTTCCAGCATTCTTAGTCTCATTCAACGAAGTTTAAAATTTTAGTTATGCTGAGCGAGTTTCTTAAACAAAAAAAAGTACACTACAGATTACTTCAGATCCCTCTACTTCTCAGATTGTAATTTGTTAAGTTTCTCTTTGGATTTGTCCACTTTTCTCATCTAAATCTGTTGATTTATTTCTCTTAAAAATCTAATTATTGTCTTCGCTTGGGTCAGGATCGTGCATTTGATTCTCTGAGCTATGTCAATGTCACCATATACTTACGGTACATTTGTTGAGGCTAATAATGTAATATCATCCGCGTATACATTTCTTTAAAAAAATTTGCATTCTCTTAAAAATGGACATCATCATAATTTTGAAACTTTCTTATAATTATAGTTCAGCTATTGGGCTGACAATATAGCTCATCTCTGACATAAAACCATTTAGCAAAGAATGAAATTCATTCGATGGTCTTGTATATTATTTTCCGCTCCATCAGAGGTTAAACTTACCTCGTTTATATTTGAAATCTGGAGTGCCCTAATGCTCACAGAGGCATTATCTCAACAGAGAAATAGCTAAACACAGATGTAAACAACATTTTTATTATGAATATTTTCCACAAATAGTTACTCCATCTACGATTAATCGATTTAATCTCTACGTTTTTAGATCTTCTTTAGTCGAAATAAGCAAAATCTCTAAGTATTATTAATTTTTTATTTAATTTAACTTGTTAAATTTTGTTTGCTTTTGCGTTTTATTTTATTTTTATTTTAAATATTTTTTCTACTCTTTTATTTTATTTATTTATTTTATTTAGTTTTTAGTTCATTTTGTTTTTTTTTTTTAATTTAATTTAATGTATTTGAATTTACTTTATTTTGTTTTACTTTTTCTTATTAATTTTATTTGATTTTAATTAATTTATTTTGTTAAATTTATATTTTTTTTATTTAAATGGAAAATTGTCAATAAAAACCCAATATAAGTTTGTTTATTTAACTCCGATATATTTCGGTTAACCCTGAAGACGGTTTCTGAGGAGTAGCCGAAGTATTACATATCGGAGTTAAATAAAAAAAATAATGTTGTGTTTGATTGACCTCAAACCGGCAAACAATTTTCAGTTTACGTAATTTCTTTTTCATTATGCTTTAAATTTTTTATTATATTATTTCATTTCATTTCTCATCATTTCATTTTATTTAATTTTAGCTTGTAATATTTTGCTGTGTTTTGTTTTATTTAATTCATTTTGTTTTAAATTTTATTTTATTTTGTTCAAATTAATTAAATTTAATTTAATTTATTTTTTCGTCATTTTATTTGATTTTGATTAATTTATTTTATTAATTTTTTTAAATTTCTTATTCAATACATTTTTTTTTTCAAATTTTTATTATTATTTATTTATTATTGTTTCATTTCATTTCATTTCACATAACTTATTTTTTACTTTGTTGCGTTTTGTTTTATTTTTTGAATTTAAATTACTTTTTTAATTAATTTTAATTTTATTTTTAGTGTTTTTATAATTTAGTTTTGTTTTTCTTAATTTATATATTTAATTTTATTTGTTTTATTTTTATTTATTTTATTTTATTTAGTTTTATTTACTTAATTTAAATTTAATTTACTCATTAAATTAATTTTATTCAGTTTAATTTTATTCATTTTAATTTAATTTAATTTTATTTGACTTATTTTTATTTTGTTTTAACTGATTAGGTTTGATATAATTTAATTTAATTTGATTTCCTTTGATTTCATTTGGCTGAATTTGATTAAATTTAATTTACTTTTATTACTTTTATTTTGCTTTATCTTCATTAATTCAGTTTAAGTTTATTTTATATTTAATTTTTTATTTTAATTTAATTTATTTTGATTTGCTTTAGTTAATTTAGTTTAGTTTTAGTTTATTTCATTCAATTTAATTTTATTTTTAGGTTTGATATAATATAATAATTTAATTTAATTTATTTTAATTAATTTAGTTTGACTAAGCTAATTTAACTTTATTTAATTTAATTAAGTCAATTTAAATTAATTTTTTAATTAATTTAATTTATTTAGTTTGATTTAATTTAATGCAATTTAATTTTATTTAGTTTAATTTAAATTAATTTTACTTTTGTTTATTTTATTTAATTGATTCATTATGTTTGTTTAGAAATTTAATTTTTGTTTTCTCGACCGTCTGTGACTGCTCTTTAAACTTCTCATCTCCTATGTATGTGGTTGCTTCTCGAATAGATGAACATCACCGCGGATAACAAACGAAAACGTTTTGCAAAATTACAAAGTATAAGCTGCTAAAAGTCAATGGCTCCTAGAATATACAGTTCTTGGTCATATAGATTGAATGGGGTTGTGCTGTGCCCACTCACTCAAAACAAATATTACTCAAACTTTATTGAGATTCACTCAAATGGAATGTACAATAAATGTTGAGTAATCGTTTTTTTTTGTTTTGCCTGGAAATAAATTGGGTATTATTTGAGCAAGGAGGCTTTTACTAAGGCTTGCAGGAATTTTCACATTTAACTCCGACAGCGTTGGAACTCAAACAATGGCCAAAAACAACAAGAAAGTCCTATAGCTTAATTAAATATTTATTTGTTACATATTAGTTTAATTCATACAAATATTTTTATATTATTTTAGTACTTTAATTCTTACGCACTTCTATGGCAATTCGCGGTTCCACTTCATAGCTTAATGTAACTTTGGGCATGTGTACAATGTCTTCGTATTTAAAAGAGGTTGAGAGTTTTAGGCTACGTATTAAATTTATTAGAAGCACACGCAATGAGAAGTCAGCATAGCGAAAACCTGTGAAAAATAACAGTAATAATAATTTTAATAATAATAATGATAATTGTAAACCGTTTCATTGCTTACCTATGCAGTTGCGGGCGCCTTTCGAGAAAATCATATGTGAATATGGATGTCGTTTTGCAACATTCTCCGGCAAAAAGTTATCCGGATTGAAGCGATCAGCATCTGGGCCCCAAAGTTCTTTGCGTCTGTGCAATTCATATATTGGTATTATTATTTGCATATTCTTAGGAAGTGTTAGTCCCGGTAATAGTTCTGTTTCCTTAACGGTTTGTCTGCCAATATACGGTATGGGTGGCGCTAAACGTAAGGCTTCAGCGATGAAACGATCCAAGTATGAGAATTTCTTTAGATCCTCATATTCCACTGAGGTAATGCCATCGGGATAAACGCTGCGAATCTCTTGAAAGACACGTTCTTGAATTTCTGGGTGCATGGCCAGCATTACTAAGCATGAAAATGCGGCACTAGCTGAGGTCTCATAAGACTGAGGCGAGAAGATTTTTTTACTTAAATTTTATGTTTTCTTCTATTATTTATTATAAATTTTTTTACCGCTGCAATCATTGTGAAACACTCGATTTCCACATCCTTCTCTGTAAATTGTCCCTGACGCATTGCCTTTAGCGTTAGATTAATTAACGATTGGTTATCCTCATCGAAGTTATTCATTTCCTCTGATTCTACTTGCTTTGCGAGATTTTCTTGAATTAACTGGAATTAGAAAATAGATAAACGTGCTCTTAAAAAAGACTTATAGCTTAATTATAAATATACAATTGAGGTTTTGTAACCGCCAAAGGATTTGAACCCGAACCTTCTGAATGGCTAACCGCTCGGCTACCGCGGCCGCCTTAGTTAGAAAACTGAAAAAAAATAAAAGGCAGAGGACAACACGAATAGCAGATTCTCGGTGTCTTTTGTCTTGTACTGGGGTAGAGGGCGATATACACTAACTACCGGGGAATAAGTTTAGTACCATATCATATCCATACGTCTTGTCGAGCGAATTGAGCGAAACATTAAAGCCATTGCTTATTAGACTTTATTACCATATTAAGATAAGACGTGGTCTGTACGTCAACTGGTTTGAATTCGTTTATTCGGCGAAGGTGATTCGGCTTCGAAGAATGACATTCACCTACACCATTTGCTCTGCCAGTGCAGGCACGGACTTCCGAACTTTCAATACCGTTCAAGGTTTCAGAAAAAGTGAACCTCTATCGTGCGTCTTCTTCAACTTCGTGATGGGGGATACTGCGGAATGCCGTCTTCTACAAAAGTATTCAGATCCTCACGTATGCTGATGATAAAACGGAAAATTATAAGAGATTTTTTTTTACCCATCGAAAGGGAGTCGGCACAAATAGGCCTGAAGGTAAACAAGAGCAAGACGAGGTATATACTGTTTACTTTATTTTTAATCACGTCTAGCGTATACGGTTGTACCACGAACTGTACAAGACAAAAAAGATCCACTGAAGAAGGTGTTCGACGCAAAAGCAAATGGCGGACAACGATGCGAACTACCATAACTCCGTGGGAAAGGCCAAATTGAAGAGAACCAATCCACGCTTTGTGTAACGATTTGAAGAAGGCTTACACAATGCAGAGTTGCTGGACAAAATCTATTGAAGTCGGTTAAAATTTGAGAATAAAGCCAGATAAGCCAGATAACAATGTCACTTTGATATCTGTTTTGCCCTCAGCGAATTTGGAAATGGCGGTCGCAACAGCAGTACGGTTAAGTCTTGCGAACTAACATTTGGAAGACCAGAGTTAAAGGCCTCGTCTGACGAAACAATCAAAATTATTCTAAATTTAAATTCTAAGGAATATCGAGCTCCCCGGGTGATATGAAAATCAAAGCTCCTCGTAGAAAGGCATGAAGGTCCGTCTATTCGTTGATAAGACACCCAGATGAAGGAGAAGCTCGGCCAAAAATGGTTTCGGGGGTTAGGGAAAATACTAAAAAACACGAACACTCAACCGAGATTAAGCCAATCACCAATTTCATCTGAAGTTCAATATTATTCAAGTTTTATTCAATTTTGGAATGGCTTAGAAACGCTCATCGGTGAGGTAGATATTTAAAATATAAAAAAATTTACTTACCGATCGAACTAGTTTTCGTAAATATTTGAGAATTCTATGATATTCAGGGGTATTAGCAAGAAATCCCAATCCAACAGATGAGTAAATTGAATTCTGTGCCATATGGTGAACTAAACTGTGGAACACCAAAAAATATTAAATATTTAATTATGAGAATCAAGGTTATTTTTTCTTCTCAAATAAAAATCACTTACACAATGAATGCATTCATAGTCTCATCATATTTCTTGGTGCCCTCTTCCATCTTTATGCCCATGATCGTTACTGAAATTAACATGAATATAAATATAAATATAAATATAAATATAAATATAAATATAAATATAAATATAAATATAAATATAAATTTAAATATAAATATAAATATAAATATAAATATAAATATAAATATAAATATAAATATAAATATAAATATAAATATAAATATAAATATAAACATAAATATAAATATAAATATAAATATAAACATAAATATAAATATAAATATAAATATAAATATAAATATATATATAAATATAAATATCAATATAAATATAGATATAAATGTAAATAAAGAAATTAATTTAGTATTTTTTGGACTCAACAAGCAATCAAGCAAGCCTCCCATTAAACCCTTTGCTAAGCCTTGAAATCACTCACATATGCTCAACTGTAAGCCGAATGCCTTGATGACTGCGTAGACATCTTGTTCACCGCGACCTGCCATGCCAGCCAGTTTATTTTTAACACTTATTGCATTTTCATTGAACAATGGAAAGAAGCTCATCAGATTATTATGACCGAGAAAGGGGCTGACGGCTTTGCGATCTAATTTCCATTTTTGCACTGAGAGTTTCAACAAAAAAAAAAACAATAATAATGAGTAAACCGAGGAAAAACTTTAAAATATTTGCACTTCACCTGGACTAACGATGATGCCATTGATGACACCATTGTGAAAGTGTGTATATAAATCTCTCGCTTTGTTCAGGTAATCCGGTGACGACGTTATTTTTTTGATAACCTCCGGTTCGACAGTCACTATGTACGGTGTGGTGGCGACCCAAACGCAACCTGTTAATTGCTTTATCTCATCAAAACCACGCGATACATTGCGATAAACCTCTAAAAATGTAATAAGAAAGTCAAAAGTTGACATTTCGCAAATAATTAACAGGACACAAACACAAAAATTTAGTGCACAATACATACTATTCAGATGTATAAACTGATAAGCTATGCCTATAAACGGTAGACCCCATTGTGTGGGCATTTTTGAGGTTATGTTTTGAAAGGATCTTCTCTTCTGATATAAGCTCCAGCTGGCTGCGAGGAACACAACGGCTGCCGTTAGGATTATTGTATCCGTCGAAATTAAGACAGTCATTATTGAAACCGCGACGTATAACTTGGACGAAACCAGACAACTAGATTATGCCTACTTAAGTGAGAAATATAAAGTACTGCACTCGCTTTTATGGGCTCGCTTAGCTAAATGTGCTTTGTAAATATACAAAAAATATTAATTATAATACAATACTTAATTTGTTAACACGTTATTAAGAAAAACGGCAATTTTTTAGCTTAGCGGTACAATCGGATATGGAAGCAATAATTACGGAGAAATGTTAACGGAAGAAATTAAGTTCAGCATTTAATCGGTATAATCTTTATCTTGCTATCGGCATAATTGCCCTGCGGACAGTGGCGACTGCTTTGGGGGCATATTAAAGCGGATTAAAGTGGACAATTGTATAAATATAATTAAGAATAGTTTGTTGTGTGACTAAGCCTTGTATGGAGAAGAAAGAGAGCAAGCAGACGGTGGCTCCTTTAGAGGCATCAAAAAATTGCATTTTTTCTTAAATCTGTAAGCAACTATTCAAAAATATGTCTTCGAAAACTCAGTAGACAACTCTCCCTATTTTAGAGGCTAAAATAGTTTTAGTGACTGAGCAGGTTGGAATGCTCGGTCTGAACTTTGAAGTGCGTTTTCTCGAGCATTTATTTTTAAATTCTTTGAAAACAGTGTCTGATTGAAAAAAATCAAAGTGATCTAGCTTCCTTATTAAATTATCTTCTATTTGAACTAAAAAGTTTGTTTATTATTTAAAACAATTTTTTCTTCCACTGTTAATTTTGTTTTCAAAAAACTAATTTTTTTTTTAAGTTTCGAATTAAAATTTTGAATATTCCAACTTCTTCGGGTTTTTTCTTAGGCCATATAGAAAAGACACTCAAAATCAAAATTAAAAACAAACCTGGTTCAACTTTTTCAGATGCATCGCACAACCTCCATCCCCGACACCGTTTCACAAGTTCAGAATTATTTTTTGAAACTTAAGTATTAATTTTCTTCACTTTCAAAAAAATTGCTGAAAAATCGGTTTTTTTTATCGGGCTCTAAAGGATGCCGTAAGCAAATTATAATCATAAATAACTTCTTCTAGTTAACAAATTTCTGTGGTGGGATTCTCTATTGTTTTATAGCGATTTTGGGATCGATAACTTAGCGATAGTTTTAACGACTTTAATATTTGTTGTACTAATTTTAACGATACTCGCTATCACTTGATCAGCTGTTGTCGAGAGCTACTTAAAACCCAAATAATTTGAAGCTTTTGGGGCCAACGACGAAGTATTGATATTTTATGTTTCACAGTAGAGTAAAGTAGACCGGGAAATTGCCTAAGCTATATAAAAGGGGAAAGGAAATAATGATAATAAATGGATTTTGGGTGTTTGGCTTACGTTTTATCCCAATATGAGGAGGTATAGTGCCCTTCATCGTTGAATGGAAGTTTGCTTCGAGAAGTGGAAAATCCCTCCCTCTTTTAGATAACGCGTTCTCGAAGGGACTACACGATCGTATGCGTTGTTGACCGAATGAAAGGACACATCCTGCATGCAACACACACTAGTGGAATGGGCGGTAGTAGCAGTCATACATAGTGCAGATAGGAAGTTATGAGTGATAACTTGGAACACCTCCTGTGCTTCTGTTTAGTATAAGCTTGATCTCGTCCTAGATATCTAGGAGTTTTGCAGTTCAAAGCCCTAGGAGAAGTGTTGAAGTCAGACATGAAGCTTACCTTAAACAAACTAGATTTAACATTCATTTGGCACTACAAAAGACCAACAGGTCTATGTAAGACCTAACCAGAAGCCAGTATGACCTTACCTAATCCAATGCGACTAAACAAAGAGAACATATTTCAAGTTTGAACTGTTTTCGCTATGGGGGCTAAGCGTTGATACACCAGCGTTAGCTATAGAGAGTCAATGTACCGTATAGCCTCTGTACAATACATAGTAAAGTTGGGTTCAATAAGTATTTTCGTATTAAATTTATATATAATCTGATACATTCTATCCAATTGTCAAATAGCCGGTTAAAAAATATGCATATTTAATATTAAATTATTTTTATTATGTGCAGAGAAAAAAGTATGCGCACACACTCACATATTTGTTTTTTATTTTGTACCGCGCAAACACGAGAAATGAATTCAGAGTACGAACTTTAATAAAAAAAATAATAATAATTGCTTATAAAGCTTTTTACCGCTTGCGAAGCTTAGCTTAAATTTCCATTATCATAGAATTACTTTTGCAACAATAACAATAAACTGTGTGTTTTTATTGAAAGCAAGAATTTTATGACCAATTTTTGGTTCTTTCATTTAGGATTAAATATGAATATCCATATTGGAATATTCCGTTGCATGTGGCTATGTGTTATAGTCCTCTGAATTCGATGCTTTTAGGTGACAACATTTATTTGTAGGTACCTGGGTGGAATACAAAATTTCATGCTCTCAGATGATTTATTTATGGATTTTCAACCAACGAGTCTCTTATGTGAAATAATCGCTGTATCCGAGGGAGATTTTATAATCCTCCGATTCCTATTATTTTCCGCATCAATATATTGGTCAAGGGAAAAGGAATCCATTATTTTTGCCATAGATGGCTTTAATGATCTGTATCTGGTGTTCTATAAGTGCGAATAGATGGCATTAGAAAGATGAAATTTTTAACTAACAAAGATAATCGAAGAGGTCTTGATCGCTTGACTTAGTAATGATTGACTACATGTCAAGCGAAAATGCAAGTCAAGCAACTGAAAATGTGAAAAGTCGTTATGGCCCTGATGCTGTAACAGGCTATCTTGCACAGTTTCGGCTTGGTTGTTTTCCTACCAGTGAGTCAGTGATGTAAAAGATGCTACGCAGTGTAGAAGGTCAAATATCGCAATTTTTGATAAAAATTAAGGAAATCCTTTATGCTTACCATCACGTTTCGATTGCACAGGGTCTAAACAGTTTAGAGCTACTTGAAAAAAGTGGGATACAGAAAGAAGCTCGATGCCTGGGTTCCATATTTCCTGAATCAAAACAAAAATCGGCCTATTCCAGAAATATTATATATGGTGACTAGTGATGAAAAGTACATATTACTTACAGACACCTGTAGTGAAAACGGTCGTGGTCGGAGAGCACTGGGTCGGCACAAACGGTATCCAAGAAGTTTTTTTTGTGTGTCTGGTGGGATTGACAAGGAATTTGTCCACTATGAGCTGCTGCTCTGTTATGAAACTGTTGTATATACTGTCCGCAATTGGACCGTTGAAAAAGAAACAATTACCACGAAGCATCCATCTTTGACCAACAGGAGAGGAATTGTGTTCCATGAGGGCAACGTCTAATCACTAATGCAGAGTATCAAATTGGACAAATTTATATCCCATAATCCCAAATCTATATAATAGGTTATATATCTTAAATGGCATAGTGGCCCGATCTTGCCGTTAAACTACACGATGAATGACTCATCAAATCGATGTTTTGCGCGCTCAAAATTGTTGTTGTTTCAGTCGATGGGAGCAACAGAAGGGATGAAGAAAATTTGTTTCTGCAATGTAAATTATATTCTGGTCTCACTAATGCCTATTTTGGCCTAATCTCACGATAGCTCGTGTTATGATTTTGCAATATCGGTTTTGCGATATACACTGCTGCTTGATGGAACTGCATTGCCAAAACTTGTATTAGGTTCATTGTTGCACTGTTGCTGAGTACATTCACGTCGAAAGTGATAAAGAATTAACGCCTGAAATATTGGCGATTAAATTCAATTTTTTTCGCCGAGAGAGATATGTCCAGTTACAGTTAGTAAACAAAACAAAGAGCGCTCCTATGGCAAAAGTTTCTATGTATTTATTTTATAAAATTTTACGATAAAACTATCAGTTATCAGATTGCAAAACCCGAAATATAAAATGCAAACCTCGTACCAAAGCACACTTCTGGTTGCTACACATATTCCTCATCACTTACAATAACTCAAACACATAAATATCAATACAATGTTTTACAAGCAATAATTAGCTACTTTCTTCTTTGTTACCTCTTATTTTACTTTATTTTGTTTTCCTAATGCCCAACCGCACTAAAAGCTGCCTTTCAAACCAAAAAAAGGTTAAAAAATCCTTGCAAAAATGTTTAAACGACACCGAGTTGAAGAGAATGAAAACCACACAGTCGCCGAGACATGTCATTTAACGTTATTTGCCAACTAAATTCAAATCATCTCTCCAAATTGCAGCCATTAAAGCTAATCACACGTCAAAATAATGCACCAAACGCGTGCCAACACAGCTTGCTTAGTTAAATGCTGCGGACGCATGCGCCTTTCGGGGCAGCTCGAGCGGGTGTGCGAGTGTCGGAGATTTAGGCAGAAGAGACAAGTAAATGAATAAAAGAATAGCCATTCTACGTTTACACACTTGCATATATACATAGATACGTGTATGCATGTGCATTAAGGTATGAGTATAGGTGTGTATGTACACTTTAGTGTCATATAAGCGCCGATTTTATGGCAAACATAAGGTTTACCAAAGGCACAGTTAAAATGACAGCAACGCCGCACCGCACCAGGTGAAGGTGTCGGCAGTAAAAACGATGTCGTGAAAGTAATGCTCTTGTGCAACAGTATTTGTAGGCAGTTACTGATGGAAAAAGTGTAGCCAAAATGAGGTTTAGTAATGCACCTCATATACATACCTACATATGTACATATGTCCCTTGTGGTATCGGCAATGTGCAGACCATCTAAAAGGAACTAAAAATTGGCAGATGAAAACTAAAGTATCGATTCTGCTATAAAATCAATATTTCAACCATAAAACCTCGCCTTGAATACGTTTAGCGGTTTTCATGAGTTTTGAAGCCTTCCATGATTACGTAAATAGAAATGACGGAATCCTGCAATTAATTATTATTTTCAAAAATCTACTCAGCTGACATTAGCCGGCTGATCCGCCTTATAAAGACGAAGTCGGTTTTGAAGTTCTGTTTAATTGCGACCTATCCAAAGGTCTCCGCCTAGAAAATATTGCAGTACTCTGGATGCTTGAAGAGCTGCCTA